GACAAACATCCGTTTAAAAGCAGGTGACCTGCGGGATGTTCATAGCTTGACATGTATTTTTGTGACCGTATCCCGTGGTTTCTTATTAAGCAAACACTTACTTGAAGTCATTAAAAAGCAATAATGATACGTTCTCCAGGGTAGTATTTTTATATGTATATTTTGTTTTAAGAAATGGAACAATTAATCAAATACTGCCTTTGCCGCCAGAGCAATTCATGTCATGCCATAATATCGAAAATTAGTAGTAATATCACTTAATTACATATTGAGGGGGGGGGGGATAAAATTTCACCCAACTTACATGACTCTTTATAAAAAAAGTTTCGTTTTCCGTACATATGATAGTATTGAATAGAGTATTTAGGTGATTGAAAATATATTCTTACCAAGTTTTTCTTCACTACATTTTAATGCCAATTTGCCTGGCTTTCACAGAACATGGTAAAAAGATTAAAATAATCGAGCTACAAGCCAAAAAAATATAGTTTTTTAAAAAAAAATATAATAAAATATTAAAAAATATATAATTTTTTTTTTTTTTTGGCTTGTAGCTTGATTATTTCAATCTTTTTACCTTTTTCTCCACTTTTGGTGTTATTTTAATATTAATTTGCTGGGTGCAAGTGCGGAGGGGGGTGTTTTCCATTTACCGAGCCAGGTTGCCTAAGAAAGATTAATTTCACGGCTCTCGTTTTCTCCCGGGACTTGGTGTCGATCCAAAAGAGCCCCCAGCCCGGAAATTTCTTGGCTCGTTGGCGAGGCAGTAAGGCTGGGCGTTGGGCACTTGATCAAAAGTGGTCGTCGAAGCGGCCAAGTTCTAAGGCAGTCGAGTCCAGGTTACGGGTGATATCCCATCCGACGGGAGCATTCGTTACCCCGGGAGCCCGGGCCTCTATCAAGCTCTTTCCATCCAGGAAGCTTGTTTCCACGAGGGAAATGCCACCGAGGTTGTCAAGTCTCCTCGAATTGGATCATTAACCGCAAGAGCCGGAGCACCTTCTAGGAATCTGCTCACGACTTAGCATTCGGCGACGGTGCTGTTGATAATGAACTTGCTTGACTCCTCGGACTGTCCCTGTAAGCTCCACGCAACTTGTACTTTCTTGCTGCGAACCCCGGAGTTATTGCTTAGCAACCGTGATGCGTATCCTTGGGCCTGTTCAAGGCAGCAATAATTTATAATGGACAGACTCACTTGTGTTCGAGGCTGCCTTTATCGCGGCGAGGTCAACCGCAGGAAATGAATTCGGTTTCAAACAGGTTTGAGGGCCTCACCTAATGGAATAAGTCAACGGTGGAGTGAAAAATTTCCTTGATGGAGGTAGCCTCCTCCCTCTCTCCATCCCTGGACGAGAGCCCCAGTGCAAGTGCTTTTCAATTTCGATCGGAGTCACTTCAGGTTTCGGAGGGAATCGAAATTGCTTATCCGCACCAGAGGCGGACCCAGCAATTTGGCAACACCGGATTCTCTCCATTTAAACCTATGTTAAATGATCGATTCTTGGTGGCGCACCTGCCCTCTCCAAGAATCGATACATTTCCATAGGTTTAAATGGAGAAGAACGATGTTGCCAATTTGCTGGATCCGCGCTTATGATCCGCACCTGCGGCGAGCCTCATCGGTTTGGAAGTCAACTGCTCATCTGGTAATTAAAACGTCTTAAGATCAAAGCAAGGAATCAGTCTTGAAGCTAATGAGCGATTTTCGATTCAGCGGCAATGATAATCGTAATAAACACATGGATTACATTTTGCAACGAGGAGCCACTATCTCTGGGTCTTCCATAAAAGCACGTATCTGCATGGTGAAATCAATGGCATATATGTTGTTTCTAAAATGAGGCGGAAATAGTGGTTTCTTATTGCAAAATGTAATCCATATCATGTAGCCACAATCATCAAATTCAGAGATTTAAACGCTCGAACAAGAAAGTCGAATTAATTGTTACGTCCCGTAAATAATAATTACTTGCGTTTTCCGGATTGAATTTCGACAGCAATTATCAAAAATGTACATCCGGGATTTGAAAAGTGATCGTGAGGAATGAAAATCCAAAGGAAGAATTCGCACTTGTTTCAAAACTTTTAGTTACGGAGGTACTTTCTCATGTCGTCTGCATTGAGAGCTGAGTCTTAAAAAATAAATATAGCTTTCGTTGCTGTCAACAATTTTCGTCGGAAATTTTGCTGCATGGGTGAGCAAAGAGACAATCTTAAGAGAGGACACGGCTGAAGCAGTGCCGTGGCGTGAATTGCGATGTATCATCGATTGTTCTGCCATTTAAACCTATGGTAAAGAATCGATTATTAAGATGTTCGCTGCGAACACCCTGTTTATCGATCCTTTTCCATAGGTTTGAATGGCAGAACAATCGATGTATCGCAAAGCACGCCATGCCACTGGGCTGAAGGCAATGATTCTATGACAGCCGAGCTTTAGCGAAGACTTTCCCTTGCCATTATGGGCATTGACATCCATGGTAAACGATCAGTGCCATTTACTGTATCCCCTTTGCGTCTGGTTTTTCGTTATTTTCACCATTACCTGTTACGAAGGCCAACACACGAATTAGGCATTTTGTCGAATGATTACGCGGTTTATACAATTTTGAAGATTTACATAGCTCTGCATATTTGTTCACAAAACGCATCCGATTTTTCGATACTTCAGGGGTGATAATTTATTAAGATAAAAATTAACCTTAGGAATCAGAAACCAATAAGTTCCTCAACAATTATCATCTTTAAAATGTATTTCATAAATTATTTTAATTATATTAATAAATTAAGGCAGTTATTTGATGAATTGGCCTTGCGCATATCATCACGGGCTAACAGCAAGTCGTATTTGTCAGGCAAAGGGAAAACGCCGCTTGGATTTTGGAACGTTCCCAACTTTAATTTAATATAATATGATTTTCAAGAAAACTAGCAAATTTTTCCTCTGAAATTAGAAAATTGTATTCGGATCGTACCTGTGTATCCAAAAACTTCAATAAGAACTCTTCAAAGCTTTCTTCGAAAAGAATGATTTTATAGGAGAAATATTTGAACGTTTGTACGTCGTTTTTCAGTGGCTTGGCGTGCTTCGATATAAATCGCTATTTCCCCATTGAAGCTATGGTGAAGAATCGATTATCGAGGTATTCGTTGCGAACACCCTGATAATCGATCCTTTTCCACAAGTATAATTGGTAGATCAATCGATACATCGCAAAGTACGCCACGCCTCTGGTGTTTTCAACCTGAACGAGGTGGAATTCATGATCGTGGCAAAAATCGGATTGGTGGACACCAAACGAACACAATTGTGAACTTGAACGGATTATGTGCGGAGGTGGGAGAAAGAGCAAGAAACTGAGCGAATGAGATCCATGGATTCGTGGGTCTCGTCCTTGTCATAATAAGCCATCGTCGCGAGCGGTGAGCCCGACCCTCCAATCTGTGACCCTCTAGTCCC